TCCTGGAGTTTCTAGCCTAGAGCCATCATTCATTATAGTAAGTTGGTCCCCAGAGTGGTGGAGTTTGCCATTTATCATTTTTTGGCTCATTAATTAACATGTGTTCAGGGAATAGAAAACAACTCTTAATATTAGCCTTAGCCAAACATAATTAGGGAAGTACGTTTGCTAACGCAAAAAATCCTGATGCAGATAAAACACAATTCAACAAACATTTGTTGAGAACTTGCTGTGTACCTAGACACATTTTAAAATGTGGAATTTTCAGAGCAATTTCTGTGCTCAGTTGGAATACCTTTTTGAGAGGTGTTTCTTTAACATGAATCTTACAACAACATTCAAGATAGTTTGAGGAAAAAAAGAATAAATATTACCCACATCCCCACCCTAATAAAAGATCTATTTTTATTTTATAGTGTGAGTTTAAGGGTCGAACTTGTAAATCATTTACTTTGAAAATAAGACCCTGAATGCTTCTGGTGGTAATTATTTTTAAAGTTATTTTTTAAGACTCTAGAAGTAAAGCTTAAACTAACGATCTTGAATTTGGAATTCCCTCTGTGGAGGTATCTATAGCTGTTTTTAATTAATGGATTAAGCTGCTGTCTTTTCTTGGTAAAACAGCAGAGGTGACATATGTCATATTCTGGGGACAGGCAGTGGACTGTTGACATCTGTTGTAGGGATTGGGTGTTGAGGAGCTGTCCTCCCTTCTTTTATTTATTTATTTTTGGTTTTTTTGGCTTTTTTCTTTGTGGCTGGCCTGAACGGGCATCTGAACCCATGACCTTGGTGTTATAAGGCTGAGCTCTAACAAACTGAATTAACCAGCCAGCCCCCTTCTATCTTTTATAAGTTCAGGGATTTTGAAGGGAATGTTTGTTTATATGACTGTGCCAGGGTAAAAAGTACAAGTTAGGATCCTTACCTGAGGGCTCTGAGACGTTGCAGTGGGTGTGAGAGGGAAGATATAGATCCCTGTTGAGCATCAGTACAAGCTGAATGGGGGCTGGGGCTGACTGTGTCGAGGATTTAGAGGATTTAGCGAGAACAGGTCATCATGACCTGGGGTGGTTAGGGAACAGCATCCATGAAGAGGCTGCCTTCTGCTGGGCTTCCCACATGACAAGGAGGTAGATTGGCAGAGTAGGTGTGTCCTAGGGACCCAAAGAGAAATGGGCAGAAAGATGGGCACGGCAAGGGATGAAGAATGTTCTCAGGATCCTTAGCCAGTCAGCCTAAGTGGAGGCAGGGTGGGTCTGAAGAAAATGGCTAGAAATTAATCCCAGGAAAGTGTGTTTTAAGTTGTAGGTGACATCACTGTTAGCTGCCACCGCCTCTGTTAATGGTTTTGAGGCTGGTGGTGGAGTTGTTAAAAAGCTGGTGTTTTAGGCTGGGGGATCTCAGGGTTGTGAAGTAGGATGAGTTGGGGTGGGGTGGGTGGAAGCTGGCAGGGAGATCTTTTAGGGGAGGATGTTGTCTCTCCGTGAGGTGACAAATGGCTAGTGTAGGGTAGGACAGCAGGAGTGGAAAGGGATTACAAGGATGCGTGGTGGAGGCTCTGAAGGAAAGATTGCTAGGATTTGCTGCTGGAGAGGGAGAAGTCAGACAGGAACATGTTTGGGAGACATGGGAGCTGTTCATGTACATGGGAAGTAGGCAAGTCCAGACTGATGTGGAGGGGTGATAAGAGGTTCTGTTTCCAGAATGTGTGTCTAAAATTTATTATGTGTTTTCTGTGTGCCCAAGCTCAGTTCTAAGTGCTTTACACAACAGCCCTATAAAACAGGTGCTGTTACTATCCTCACTTTACAGGTGAGGAAACTGAGGCAAAGCTGAGTAGCAATTTGCTCAAGGGTTGCACACTTAGTAAGTGGCAGAGCCAGGATGCAAATCTAGACCATCATAACTCAAGAGCCAAACTCCTACTTAGTGTGCTAAAATGCATTACTGCTTTACAAGAATAGGTAGAATTTATTAAAAATTGCCCAGTCTTGTTTTAAGCTCCTCTCATGTATTACCTCACTTGATTCTCATAAGAACTCTATGAGGTGAACGTATTTTTATCCTTATTTTCCAGTGTGGAAAGTTATACACAGAGAGTTCTAGTGACCTGCTTTAGGTCACACAGCTAGGACTTGACTACATTGCATGGTAGGTCTCGGGAAGTCAGCAGTACTTATTTGACTGAATTGCATTTATCTATGTACGTCCTTAAGATTGACTCATGAGAAAATTGAATTGATTGAAATATGTTGCAGTATAAATTCTTTAAGAATTGTTCGATTAAATTTACTATAATATGCATATTTACTTGGTGGATGAGTAAAAGGGATAAGTAATTGAAATAATAGCATCTCCTTTTATTGCTGCCTCCATTTTCATTATTTAAAACTCTGTGCACCTCTGAAAATAATCCTAACCACTCCGTGTCTATGTTTGTATTCTGGCTGCTCCATTTAGTTGCCGAGCCTCGTGCACACAGGTAGTCTCACTCTGTAGCACTTTTTCTCACGTTGTCTGTGTTTAATAAATATCAGTGATTATAATTGACCTTCTTGGTTTCTTCTGCAAATCAAGGCTTCTGGGAGTCTTTTGATCTGGGATGTACTTTGCTTTTTGTATCTGGGACATAATGGGGCTACCATTGATGACACCAGTTGAAATATTTGGATAATAAACAGGGATTGAGAATGACCAATCTATACATACACACATCTGTGGGGAACAATTTCGGCCCTTCCACAGAGCACCTTCGGTCTGTCACTGTCCACAGACTCTTCTTGCTATCTGCACATGTGAATAGGCCTCCCATTTTCTTTACTGTTTAGCCTTGCTTGGCTATAAATTTTTTTTTTTTTGTCTTCTGCTGCCATAGCTATCCAAGGAAAGGTCTACACTTGGTGCCTGAAACCCTGGAGCAAACAGAAATTCCCGCTTTTACCCGAAATTGTATTCTTGGCTTTCTAGAGGTCTCTGTAACCAAATTAGGGGACTTTGGCTCATTTCCTGTGATCTTTCCTGGCGTTTACTCCCAGAACCACCAGCCTCCCTTTGCACTGCCTTCCTGGCACTTCTCGTTAGCCTCTCCCCTTCCTTTCTGGTGGTTTTTGTTTAGTTTTGTTTTGTTTTTTTAGTCTCTCCTGACTCTTTTCTACTCCCTCTTGGCTGGAACAGCCATTTAAGGTTGCTGCTTGGTTTTTTCCACAGACCCTTTCTTTGATGATCTGATTTTGTTTTTCTAACTTAACAAGTCATCACCATTCCACAACCATCTGCGTTTCAGGTTGTAAGCAGTTTACTGCTGAGAAGTCCATTTACTGACCAGGCAGCACCTGTAAGCAGGTCTCTGTTCTCCTGTCTCAATCCCTTTCTGATCGTGTCTCCATCTGCCCACCCCCAGCCATCCTGAACTGATGGTGGCGAGTTTCCTGTGTGTGACTTATCCTTGCTGCCTTTGCCTCCCACCTGCCCCTTTCTTTACCTGGCTTGGGTGGCTTTTACTCCTCCTTAGGAACTTGGGTCAGTGCTCATCTCCAGCCTTGTATGTGTGTGGAAGGGGGAACAAATCTGATGCTCAGGGACCATTTCCCAGCGATCCTGCAGAAGTGATTGAAAGTCCCAGGGAACTCTATTAACAAGTCACCCAGCCCATCTCCACCAGGGCCCTTTCCTTTTGCCCCCTCACGCAGGTCGTCCGTGAATCAACATTTTTTTTCCCCCCACTCCACTGGAACCATTAATGTGTTCTTCCTCTGTCTATATATTGCATCTCTTCCTCTTTGTTCTCAACTCTTTACTATAGGAGCTCATCACTTCTGCCTACAGACCAGTGTTTTTCACTCATTTCCTTGAATCTAGTTGATTTTCTGGTATATCACTCTCCTCCTGAAAAACCTGTAGTGAGTCTACTCTGTGGTATATTCCAAGTATTTGCACCCAGATGTTCAGGGCTCTTGATGATCTGGTTTTATCCTACTTAGTCTACCTCTCACCTTCTCCACCAGGAATACTATTTTTCAGCCAGTCTGGTTTTTTATGGCTCTAAAGGCCTCATGTGCCAACCTTAGTGCTAGCCTTTCTTCATCTGTCTCCTCCTTCTCCTATGCCTCTTCCTATATGGTGAAGGCCCAGCCTGCCTCTTAGTTTTTCTTCAACTTAATGTTAAATCTTGTAGCTGTGTTTCACTTATTCTGGCATTTAAGCAGTTTGTCCTTTGAGCTTTGAAGTGTGTGTAAGTACCATGTGCACACTTCCATGGACTTTTCCCCAGCACTGAGCATGATACTTTTGCAGATCATAATTAATGAACAGATATTTGAATAAATGGATGCATGCATGCATAAATGAATGAACTGGCTGTTGTTAATTTTCTAAGGGCCAAGTTTCATATTGAGAGTTTAAAGTATGCTTCTTTATATAAACTAGTTTCCTATCAAGGACGCCTATCTTTAAAATGGGATTGTTGTTTTATGCCTTATAGTGTGGAGACTCGTGAATAGTCCTTTTAATGAACACTGCCATGTAAGGAGAATTATATAGAAATAATTTACAGAGCTTTAAGAAAAAGCCAAGCTATGTCATGGTCATGTACATCCTGCCAAAAGAGTGACAGGCCAGTTTTTTTTTTTTTCATAGTGTGAGATTTTGTTATTTCTAAGATGGGTGTCAGAATGTCAGTGCTACAACGACAGCCCATATTCAGAATGGAAACATGACACAGTTGTGTGTTTAACCCATAGAAGGCTGAGGCATCCAGCAAATCCTGGCTTCGACAGCAAATATGACCCTTAGGATTAATTGAGAGTTGCAGAAAATAATTTTCTAGATGGGCTTAAGAAACTTTAGACAGAACTCTTTTTCCAGCCATAAATAGCAGGGCAGCTTTGTCCTATTTTTATTGTAGAGTACACAGAAGATGGAACTCAATATTGGAAGAAATGCTTTATTTCACTAGGGAAGAAGATCATACTCAACACTATTCTCATTTTTCTTGGCAGGCTCTTCTCAACCATCTGTGAGTCCAGGGGAACTGTCTCCACCATCCATCCATCCAGCAACATCAGAATTAATAGTCAGCGCTGGTGACAACATTAGGCTGTTATGCACCGATCCAGGCTTTGTCAAATGGACTTTTGAGATCCTGGATCAAATGAGTGAGAATAAGAACAATGAATGGATCATGGAAAAAGCAGAGGCCACTAACACAGGCAAATACACGTGCACCAACATAGGCGGCTTAAGCAGTTCCATTTATGTGTTTGTTAGAGGTAAACACTTAGTTTTCTTTGATGTTATGCATTAGAGAATGTAATATCCTGTTCTTAATTTTGGATGACATATAGATTCCTGAGCCACAGACAAAATATTACTGGCTGAGTCTGGAAAGCCAAAAACAAGTGTTTCTTTGCTGGTTTCCCCATCTTTTGATACACAGTGGCTTTGGGTATGACCCCAGCTGAGGCCTGCAAGCCTGTGATACTATTCCTAATGAGATTACGGTATGTTTAGCCCATTTGTCCTGGTGCTTTGAGTAAACCCTGAGAATAAATTAGGTCCTTTGGGAAAGCTGCATTTTAATGCCCTGAGATACTAGATACTCCCACTTAGTAAAAACACTTCAGGGAACCAAAGGCCTCTAAAGGCCTAAACAGACCAGCACTTCAAAAGATTTGGCCTACTCTTAGGGAGTAAATTCCAGAAAAATAACTTGGTCAGCTAAGCATCCCATATCTTTCATGGGTTTTTTTTTTTTTTTTTTGTAGAGTTGATTCATTTAAAAAATTGTAACCTCTTTGAAACAAAAGAAAAAGAAATATGATAGTTAGATTTCTATACCTCACTTTCTGTGACAAATTTAGTGATTCGCCAATGTTTGTGCTTTTAATGGCTTGTCAAGAGTAGATATGCTGGGCAGGGGTGTATCTTTTGGTTGATGTTAGTAAAAACTGAGGTACTGACAGCTTAGAAGAATACCAAGTTGCAGGAAGAGAAATAAGAGTCCTAGTTGCTAGTCCTGGCTTTGTACCTGGACTGGGCTGTCATTGCAACAGGCCCGAGGCAGGAGGCCTTATCCACGGTGTTGTGAAGGAATGACGGGTTTCAGTTCCCTCACTGCAGTATTTGGATAAGGTTACCTGCCCTGTCTTCCTTACATAATTATTGTTAGGGAGCCAGACTTGTGTAAATTCTAGCATGCTCTCTCAAGAGTTAATAAAGCTGATTCACATGTTCACTGTAGAGAAGGTGGCCACGAAATTGACTGTGCCTCTTCTTTCCTAGATGGGTAGCTGAAGGAAACTGCACCAGTCAGTCACAGCTTAGCTTCAGCGTGTGGTTCTGTAATTGTTGAGCCAACCCATGTGCTGTTCTTTGACATTCAAGAAGGAATTCTGTAATTTTCAGGTGGTGATGAAGTACCATTATGCTTATTAATAGGATGAATAGACAATTGAATAAATGAGGAAAACTGCCAAATTAGCCAAATCACTCTAACAGAGCTCACAGAGTTTCTTAATAGGGGAAGTCATCTTCTGTAAATTAAAACTATCCTTAATTATTACTGATCTCAGATGTTTGGAGGGAGAGCAGGGCGTTGTTGTAGGCGCTAGATTCAAGTAACTGAGAAAGAGTAGATGAAAAATCACTGTGACCTTGGACCATCATGAGGTAATTTATTCATAGAATAAATTAGTAAGGCCAGGAGATGCATAGTTAATTTTGGAAAAAATTTTTTTCAAAATTAGTCAAAATTAAATGGTCAAACAGAAGTATATTTTAGGGCCAGCCCCGTGGCTCACTCAGGAGAGTGCGGTGCTGACAACACCAAGGCCACGGGTTCGGATCCTATATAGGGATGGCCGGTTTGCTCACTGGCTGAGCGTGGTGCTGACAACACCAAGTCAAGGGTTAAGATCCCCTTGCCGGTCATCTTTTTTTTAAAAAAAAAAAAGTATATTTTAATGATGTCAAATTCATTTATGTGGAACACTGATTTCCAGGTGGAAAGAACCATATAGAAACAAGAGTTTGAAAGTAATCTGTCAGCCTAAGTATACATTGGTACTATCAGTACACAGTAGAGGATGGCAGCATATTGTGTCTACAGAATCAGGTCTGCCTTTGCTCTTATGAGGTCGCATTCTGCTTGAGCCATTCCCAGTCTGTGCCTGGTGTCCTGGTAGTAATGATTAATAGTGTCCCCTTTCACTCATAAGTGCCCTGGCTCAGACAATAAAGTATTTGCCACAGCTTCTCTGAAACTTAGAAGCTCCCCCTGTGCATTTGAGGTTATTTGATTCCCAGAAGTTATATCTATGCATTTCTTTCGAGGAATATGAATAGAGTGAGCCTTACATGTTAATTGTACTGAGGGGCCTGCCAAGAGTTTCTAGATTCTCTTCAGAAGCTGAAAGATTCTGGAGACTGGAAACTCTAGAAAGGGTCCCACATGGAGAGGTTAGATGAAAGGAAACCTTCCCTGTCTTTCATAGGAATCATCAGGCTGGCTTTTTCATAGGTGATGATCCTTGGAGTGTTACCTGTTGTAGAAAAAGAGTAACTATAGTAATAAAATATTCCCAGGGTTTTAAGAGCTCAGATTTTGGTATCAGAGTCAGACCTGGGTCTGAGTTCTATTCAGCTGTTTCTATGTTACATCACTTTAGGAGAGTTGCTTTTTTGAGACCTCAGTTTCATCTATGAAATAGTGATAATGATAATACCCATCACATCAGGGTGTTTTCAAGATTAAATGAGGTAAAGTGTGTAATGGTCCAAGTTTCGTGCCTGTATTAGTCTGTTTCTGTTGCTTATAACAAAATACTTGGAACTGATAATTTATAAAGTAAACAAAATTTATTGCTTGCAGTTTCTGAGGCTGGGAAGTCCAAAGTCCAGGGAGGAACACATCTGGTGAAGGCCTTGGTGGTGGCAACAGTGATGGCAGAGTATCACACTGTGAAAACGATGGAAGCAGGGAGAGACTAACCTCATTCACTCTCCTTTGAAAGCCCTCAGAACCACGCCCCTGACCACCATTATTAATCCATTCACTACTGCATGGTCCTACAGTCTCATCACCTCTTCAAGGCCCCACCTTTCAATTACCATAACAGGGTTTCCTACCCTCAACAGTTATAGTGGGGATTAAGCCTCAGTGAGGTTGGGGGACATCCAATCTGCAGCAGTGCCTGATACATGGAAAATGTTTAATAAAAGTTTAACTCTTGTTAGTACTATTTTTGGATAAATTTTGCTTTTGCTCACACAGAAAAAAATCAGTAGCCATTTGGGCCACTAGGGATTGCTGCCATGAAAGGCAACATTTTAGATCTTTTAAAAATGTTTTCAGTGTCTGTGAACAGCCATTCAAAATACTAATTTTTGATATACTTATAGATCCTACAAAGCTTTTTCTTGTGGACCGTTCCTTGTATGGGAAAGAAGACAATGATACCCTCGTCCGCTGTCCTCTGACAGACCCAGAGGTGACCAATTATTCCCTCAAGGGGTGCCAGGGGAAACCTCTTCCCAGTGATTTGACGTTTGTCCCCAATCCCAAGACCGGCATCATGATCAGAAGTGTGAAACGCGCCTACCACCGGCTCTGTTTGCATTGCTCTGCCGACCAGGAGGGCAAGTCGGTGCTGTCAGACAAATTCATCCTTAAAGTGAGGCCAGGTACTATCCTTTCCTTCTTTCTTCTGGGAAACAAGAATATGTTCATCTAAGGAAGAGGGAGCTCAGTTCCCCAGCTTCAAAATAACATCAGTTGCTTGTAAATTACTTCACAGTCCTAACCTCAAGTGACTGGTCCATGGCAGCCTCTAGCAGAGGTGCGTGTGTCTGCCATAGATTGGCATTTAGTTGGACTGGCATAGGTCATCACCCCAAAGTTTCATAATTGTGCCAAGTATTCCTTCCAAGAAAACCCACTGGGAAAGTTTTTCTTGAGGTAGGAGGAGCTTTAATTACACAGCTTGAAAGATTAGCATACAGATTATTCATTCTTTGATTTACTGTTGACACGTGAATTGACTTTCTCTTCAGCTGATTAATTTTAATGCATTCTCAAACTATTCAAGACCTGAAAAGGAAAGACTGACTATGGAACTTGTTACTTTGGCATTATATAGAATGTTTCCTTAGCTGGAAGTTTATCAAGGTTTTGTACCTCAGCGACCATCTAATTCAACATCAGTTGGCATTTAGCTATTGCGTAGAGTTTTTTATTAAGTCTTTTGAAAAAGTATGCTTATTGAAATTAGGAATGTTTGATTATTTTAAACCTAGGATTTTCAGAAGCGAACAAGGTATTTTTACAATGCATGGGAAAGATGCCTGTTTAGTTAAAAGAATTTAATTATTTGTAGACCACATCTTCATGAAGCCATCAAGGTTACCTCAGATAAAGATTAAAGCTGCTTTGCTATGCAAGGGCTTCTACCTGTTTTGAAAAAGCACTTTTCAGAACCATTATAGTCTCACTGTAGACATCCTATCTTTTTCACTCAATATTAATGAATTTACATGAAGGATGCATGATTTAATTGACAATGTCTTCAGATACCCAAGTAATACAGATAGGTCAGTACCATATTTTGTATTTTATTTAAAAGACGATGAAGTAAGTACACATTTGAGGAAAAATGGTATGCTAGAATTTCATGCTATCATAGAAAAGATGATTTGAGAACCACTTTCTTTTTATTCTAGCCTTCAAAGCTGTGCCAGTTGTGTCTGTGTCGAAAGCAAGCTATCTTCTTAGGGAAGGGGAAGAATTCACAGTGACGTGCACAATAAAAGATGTGTCTAGTTCCGTGGACTCAATGTGGATACTAGAAAGCAGTCAGGTGAGTGAATTGTCTCATTCATTCTTGTCAATAGGTTGTTCTGTGTGGGAGATGTTAAGGTTTTTCTTTAAAAGTCTGTGCTAGGGATGACTCAGCTGGTATGTCTGTCAGAGGTGGGATTAAGATGTGTATTAAGATGTGTATTTCAGAGTGTATTAAGATGTATATTTCCCCCTTTCATACCTCCATATGAAGATATGTACATTTATTATGAGTAAAAAAACAAACGTCATTTTTGTACATTTATTTTGAGAAAGTTGGAGAACTTCAGACTCATGTAATTACTTCATGCTGTTTCTTTGACTTTAGTAGGGAACTTTTTTTAAAAAGAATGGTTCACTGCATACATACTTTGATTTAAAGCTGCTATTGATACTGTTCAGGCCAGATTATTTAAAATATTGGAAAGAGTTGCCAATTTTTTCCCGTCATATTTAAAAAAATTAAATGGTCTCATATATTAACCAGAAACCTCTTCCCTTTCCCACAAAATGGCCTATCCATTTGAGAGATGGGTTTCTTTTCATATGGATCTGATTTCCTCCTTTGAGACTGGTTACCTGAGATTAAGTTGCTAATGGTTTTCTATTTGTTTTAGTGGCTATTAATAAAATGGTTATCTTTAATCTGAAACATTTGGACATGTTTAGGTTCTCATTCACTTAACAAATGCATATTCAATGCCTGTTATATCTCAGATACTGTTAGGCATATCTTAAGTAAATTTTAGCCAGTTATATTTGAAGTTTTTTCTCTCTCTAAACACTCATGTTAATATCAGTGTCTTTAAGCTGTCTTAATTTCCCTAGTATTTTGCTTTAAAATTCCCATTGATCAAGTTTCCAGTAGATTTGGCCATCTAGTTATTAGCTGTCACAGTGTTTTTTCTTTATTGCGCATGTATACATTACATTTCTTGAAAAAAGAAATACTGATTTTCCTCCTGTTCTGTTCCTCCTCATGCCTTGTATTCAACATTGGCAAATTCACACCTTTTTAAAGAATTCTTTACTAAACAAATAACCATGGTGATTAGCGTAATACAGAAATATTGTGATGGTGTTCATGTGATGGGTGACCTGTGAAGGGATGGCATCTTGCTAAATGAATCCACCACTGACTAAGAGAATGGATTGTACCATAGACTTGTTCTTTCAAACCAATGGCTCAGAGAAACAAGTTTTAGTTTTCTTATCATATAATGTAATTCAAATAATAGGTTGTGTATAGATTTTTGGCTAACCTTACAGAACACAATCCCCTATTAATTGACTTTTCTATAATCCTTGATTTCAGATGAGAGAACAATTTGGACCATGTGTATTCGAGCCTCTACATAAGTTGAAAATTAGCCTTTTTGAGAAGAGAAATTAAATTGCCCCAGGCAGTTTTGTTGTGAACCATTTTTCCCAGGAGCCCTGCATGCCATTCCCAATTAATCCACTGGTGCTGGTAGATAAGCCTTCAGTGTTGGGAGCTCTTTGGGGAAATCCCAGTGTGTGCCTCCAAGGTTTAAGGAAGACCAAATCACGTGCAAACAATATGTGATGTGTGACTTGCAGATGGGGCTCATGGCTATCTGCCAAGGTTCATCCATGAATCTTTTATTGATATGTTTTGGCTTAATTTGGAATGCTGTTAGCACTATTGAATTATTTTTAAAATCTGTAATATTTGATTCTGACCATTTAGAATCAGTTTAATTCAAAATGAAATTTAGGATAAAATATTGATTAGTTTTTCTAATGCTTCTAAACCCTAGTGTTTTTGCTTCCTTTTAGTTGTGATCTTTGACAGTAGCCTAAATTATAGTTTTGGGGTTTGGGTGTTGATGTTGCATCAATTGTGATGAAGCTAGTCCTTCCTGCACTGACAAGTTCAGTGTTCCTGTTTAGCTCCCTATTGTGGACTCTTGGGTTCTTAAAAGAACTAGAAAGAAGATACCTTAAATCTAGAATCTGGTATGTTACCTGTTCAGTGTCACTCTGCCTTTGTAGAAAAGTCTGTGAAACCATGGACTGGGAAAGGCCACTGTGAAAATGTAACTTCACCTTGCTGTTGCGTCTTCTTAACAATTGATCTCGTGCCGTGAAATGGCAGATTTCTGCCTGTTATTAGAAGAATCCCTTAAAAGTGGGTAGCTTCAAATCTACAGAGTGTTCCAAAATGGAAAAGCCTTTGAAGACACTTTTGTTCCCTTATATCCTTTTAGAAACAAAAACTGATATTAGTGATGTCCTTGATTTGCCTAAGATCACGCAGTTAGTTAACAGCAAAGCAGGTTTCTCTTTTTATTTTGAAGCATTCACCTTTGGCAGTCAGCTTTCGTGTTTGCTTATTGTAATGTAAAAAAATTTCCAAAAATATAATAAAGTAACATTAGAAAACAGAGAAATAGGTATAATCCCACCATCGCAGGTAAAAGCAGAACTGTGTAACAAACATAACCTGAGCCTTATACATAATTTAAAATTTTCTAGTAGGCACATTACAAAGGGTAAGAAAAGGTAACATTCATTTTAATTATATATTTTATTTGACCCAGTATATTCCAAAATATTATCATTTCCACCGTGTAATTAACATAAAAGTTACTAATGAGATTTTTACGGTTTTTTTTTTTTTTTTTTTACTAAGTCTTTGAAATCTAGAAAATATTTTATGTTTATAGCACAACTCAGTTTGGACCACCACATTTCAAGTGCTTAGTAGTCACAAGCGGCTACTCCTTATAAAAGCTACACAGCCTTTAATTTTTTTTTTTCATATTTCTTTTCTCTCTTCCCTTATGCATATGTATTATCACATGGTTGCATTTTTAAGGTACACTCATTATGCTTTTTAAGTAATATGAGCATCTCTTATTTTTTACATAGTTGTAATTTTCATTGCTGCGTATACCTGGTATACATGAAGGTCATCTCTGAGTTTTCACTGCAGTCAACATCTTGGAGCTTTTGTTTCCTGTTGAGCTATTTTCTTGAGATAAATTTGCTGGGGATGATCAGTGGGTACGAACATACTGCCAGGTTGCTTTCCAGAAGGATTGTTCTAATTTACAGTACTGTCAGATGGTCTAACTCTAGTAGTTTCACCATAGCCTGGCCAAAGAGTCACCCTTGATCTCATTCCATGTCAGTATCAGCTCCTATTTACTTTCTTTTTTTAGTTGTTGTTTTTTCCGTTGTAATAGGAATGTGTGCACATTACAGAAAATTTGGAAGATGCAGAAAGCTATATTCGACTCCTTAATCTTTTCAGAGAGCTGCTGTAGTTTATATTATGGTTTTCCCATGACGTTTTAAATACAAGAAATCTCTCCATGTCTCATCTGCAGACAAATAATAAGAGTGTGGTGGCAATATCACAAGGGTAAATTCACAACCTTTTCTCTTTAGCTCATGCTTAAGTAATTTGGGGCTTGGTCTTATATGTCTCATATGCCTTGAAACTCCATCTTGAGTAGTTGTCAAAATTCTGCTGAGTAAGAACTTTAGGATGAATTTCCAAGTTAGTTGTAGACATTGTGATTCTATTTTTATTCCTGCTAATATTAATGTTAATAGAATAGGACATTATTGTTATTAGCAAGGTGTTTTCTTTCAATCATTGGTTTATGGAATAGAAAAAGGTATATAACAGGAAATGTTGATATGACACAAGTATGCTGACTCATTATAAAATATCAGTATTTCATATTTCATATATAGTAACTTTTAAAATTTAGCTTTGCAGAGAGTTTGGAATTATATATGCTATGGTTAGGAAATGAATTTTTGTGTTTTTTTCCAATCATTAATAACGACTGTCTTTCAATATAATCCTGTAATATGAAGTGTTCCAGTGACAGACTTGTCATGATGCTTTATTATTCTTATTTAAGTAGTGTAAAAGGAATGCTAATATGGAGAAGTTAATTGCTGCTATTTTTAATTTATCTAGGAAAGATCCTGAATATAAATTACATGGTAATCTTTGATATTTTTTCCTCCCCTCCTGAAACCAGCAGACTAAAGCACAGGTAAAACATAATAGCTGGCACCTGGGTGACTTCAATTATGAACGTCAGGAAACGTTGACTATCAGCTCAGCAAGAGTTAATGATTCTGGAGTGTTCATGTGTTATGCCAATAATACTTTTGGATCAGCAAATGTCACAACCACCTTGGAAGTAGTCGGTAAATATCTCTAGGGAAATGTATAAATTACTGGCAATAGTGCAAGAAGAAATGACTAGATAGTTTCCTTTTTATGTAAATTGAATGTTGAACAGATTTTTAGAATTTTATTATCACCGAATGAATGAATGAATGAATGAAAATTATCGTTGTAGCCTCTTGTAACTAGAGCACAAAAGCAAATTCTACTATTTTAACAGAGAAAAGTGGAGAGCTGTTACTGAAGTTGCTCAGACCTGTCATTCTCTGGGCTTCCCATCCTCCCCTCCCCACCAAACAAACAAAATACAAGTTGAGCTTTTTCAGAAATTCTAGCCCTTGCCAAGTGACTTGAGCTTGGAAATGGATGTAGATTTTTTTCTGTCATGGAACACAAATGAAGTATTTCTCTGGATCTTTTGGTGTGGGGCACCTCTACCTTTTGGTTTATTGTCTTACCACCCACTCACTCTAGTTCATTTGCAGTAAGGGTTAAATTTGGCTTCTCCCCCTAGTCTCTCCACTTCCTCCATCTCACCGAATTCTGAAACCTTAAAGATTATAGCATAAACCTTTCAGAAGGAGGCTCATTGGGGCATAGGTCATTGGTACTCCAGAGCATAAACTAGAACATGGTAGTCTGTCCCCTGCCTAGCCCCATCACCTTATATGCACAATTGGTTTAGCCTTGTCTGCCCTGCTCTAGAAATCTCACTAAACATTTATTTTCCAAGCATCTACTTAAAGAGAGCATCACGTAGTGAGTTACTTAATGTTTTTGATTTCCTGAGAACAATAATTATTTTAAAATTACTTCATTTACACATTTTTTTTTAGTGTTGTTTGAATCTAGTCTATTTTCCTATCTTTTTAATGCAACCATATTCTTAGTGCTTGACTTTAATAAAGTACTTGCAGGGTGATGAAATTCTTCATTGTGAGCCAAGGATAAAATGACGCTGTGTTTGTTTTCTATTTCTCCTTCCCCCTTCCCCATATTTCTTCAGTAATTTACGTAGCAGTGGTAGAGCTCTGGGATTTATCCCCCAATAATCTCATAAAATTTTGTTTCTGTGCATGTTATAATGGAAAGTATCTCACTGAACATGGAAAAAGACACTTCACTTACAATTATACCGTCACCTCACAGAAGGTGTACTACATTGTCCCTAAACGTGATTGTGAGCCATTTATTAATTTTAATAGAAGGCTGTGCTTTTAAAATATTAAACTCCATAAGCTCTAATTTGCTAAGTTGATTAGGGAGCATGTTGATATATCAGCTTCAGCTCCAGAAAGCAATTAGTAAAGATGTTTTGAGCATATTGTTGTATGTAATCTGATTTTTAAAATCCATTCATCAGTTTCCAAGAATGTAACTGTATGACTGGAAAGACTTGTGGCTATGAAATCTGAATCTGGTTTTATATTGTTTGGGGAGTAGGTTGGGGTAGAACAGGAACAGGAAGAGACAAAGAGAAGAGTAACTTTTTAGGGGCTGGGAGTCAGATTTGGTTACAGCATGGTATAGAACAAGGCTTTGGGATCACCCTAGCCTGGATTTTTTTTTTTTTTTTTTTTAATCGTGTATATTTAAGGCAACACAGCATGTTATGTGATACGTAAAGTAAAAAGGTCACTATAGTGAAGCAAATTAACATATCTATCATCTCACATGGTTACCCGTTTTTGTTTTTATGGCAAGAGCAGTTGAAATCTGACCTGGTTTTGAGTTGGGGGCACTGCCACTCAACTTCCTCCAGCACGCTGCTTTATCTCTGCTTGCATTTTCTCTTCTGAGAAACATAGTCTAACCGTGGAAAGGAGAAAAGGCAGGTTTTATAGACGGGTCACGCATAGAGTTTACACTTGATTAAATGTTAATGTATCATGAACTTATTAAGGCAGTACTGTTTGAAAAAAATTATGCTTTCTGTTAAAACAACCCGAGTGGAGTTCTTCTAATAATATGCTTCACCAATTTGAAGCTATATTCTACTCTCGGACGTAACACTATATTGAGCAAGCTAGACTGTAGAAAACTCACGAGGACTTAAGCATTTTGTGTATTGTAGTTTTGAGAGAAATAATTTCAGTGTGAATAGTGTCTGAAATATTTGAATATTTTGCATGAAGTACTGTCTTTTAATTTATGACCTTGAGAACCTGTAAATTTAATGCAGTATTCAGATGAAACATTTATTCCCTCAAAATGAGCCTACATTAGCTTAAGGAATGGCAGGAGAGAATATCACTTATGATTCAGGTGATAGAACAGGTTGGTGGTATCCATCTCCAGTTTCATTTGGGTGATTTTTCACTCTCACCTGAAAAATCCTTTTTTAAATTGGTATAGTGGACAAAGGTCAGTTGGACTGTTTTTGATTCTGAATCTATAAGAAACTAAAGAGCAGTAAAAACATCACAGCTTCATGTGGGACTTCAATATATTTAAACACAGCACAAAAGTTAATAAGTGCTAATTTAAAATTTTATCATTAATTAAAAAAATTTAAGTAGAAGACTAAAATTAAAACTTTTTCATAATCCCACTAACTTGATATAACCATTTTTAAGATTCTGATATATCATTTAAATTTTTATTTGTAGCAGAGGCCAGCCTTAGCTTCTCACAGACTTGTGTTCAAATCTCGGCTCTGCTATGTGGCTTTTATGGCCTTGATTGTTTTCATCTATAAATTAGAGGTTATAAGTCCATCTCTCAGTATTATAAGATTAAATGTTTGTCATAATTATTAAGTGAAATGTATGCTAAAATGCTTAGAGTAGTCTTCAGCACATTGTAAGCATTCCATAAATGGTGGCTATAAAAATAATATTGGCAATTATTTTGTTGCTCTCTTTTTCAAGCTCTTATATTACTATTATATTGTATAATCACTTCTAAGGGCTGCATTATTTTATTTAACTGGTTTTCTATTTTGCCATTTTTAAAATCATTATAACTATTGCAAATACCATTTCTTTTTGCGTGTAGCTATTTATCCCATTTTAAGAAGAGTTCTCAAATGGAGATTACAGGATTAAATAAAAACAATATAGATAATTTTATAAATCTATATTGCTAAATGCTTTCTAAAAGAATTGTGCCAGTTTACAGTGTGTAATTCAGTGTGCTGCTTTTACCACTCTTGAAAAATTGAGCTTATTTAAAATTAGTTTTTGGGGGGTTTTTTTGGTGGCTGGCTGTTATAGCTTTGCTATTTTTAATAAAGTGATGTCTTATTTTAACTACTAGTTTAGTTAAGCATTTTTACTACAATATTTTAATATCCTCTTTTCTCCATTGCCTTAATTAATTTTACTATGTAGGCATTTTAAAATGTTCATTATTCAAATTTTTCTTTTATGATTTTTTCTTTTGTTGCTTCTTTTCTGTTGCCTAGAAAACTGCCCCTCTGTAGAAAGGCAGTTTGGTAGGAGTTAATTCTGTTGTTTAGTTAAAAACATGATTTGATTATTAAAATGCTGTTTTTGAGTAATCTGTGATATATGATATAAGGAGAAAACCTAAATTTATTTTTCTTTGAATAATGACATTCTTTTAATGTTTTTATTAAACATTAGGGTTGTCTTTCTCTTCTTGATTTATGACTCCTTCTTATCACATATAATTATATTGGGATATGGGCTAACTGTTTAGTCCAAATGCTTTTTTAACCTAATAAACATCAAGACTAAGAGATTTAGAAGACTTTTAAGGTGGTGATAGATCTTTAAGAGAATTGCTTAAGAGACAGAGATGACAGAATGAGTATTTCGAGAGTATGTCCTTTCTCACTTTATGACAGTGATTCTACAAGAGAAAAAAAAAACAGTGGCTAGTTAAGACTCTCTTACTTGTTACTTCCAATTAATTCTAGAAATCAATTATCTTTGTATTTCCAAGATGAGGTTGTGTTTTTTGCTGGGTACTTGTGGATAACAGTTTTTTCCTGTCTATCTCTGTTCTAATTAGATAAAGGATTCATTAATATCTTCCCCATGATGAACACTACAATATTTGTAAAAGATGGAGAAAATGTAGATTTGATAGTTGAATACGAGGCATACCCGAAACCTGAACACCAGCAGTGGGTTTATATGAACATAACCTCCACTGATAAATGGGAAGCTTATCCCAAGTCTGAGAATGAAAGTAACATCAGGTAAGAAAAGAGCCTTGCCCTGGGGATTGCATGTGTTCCTCCCTTTTCCACTGGGCTTTCCAGGTCCTGTTTCTGTAGCCCATAAATGCATGAGAAGACAGCTAGTACAGAAACAAGTCTGGGCTGCCTCTTGAGTCCTCACTCAGGTATTCCATTTTGCTGTGTTTAGAGCACACACAGGTCTCTGTGCCTCAGTTTTCTCATTTGTAAAACGGAGGATAGTTCTTTTCTTAAGTTCTGAGGGGCTGAAGCTAGCTCAAGTCAGTGACTGGCGTATACTCAGGACACAATAAACAATTCTTTCCAGAGAAAGTGGAAAGTTAGTACCTTTAATCATTTCTTAAAACTCTAAGAAAACAGAACCATTAAGTAGCTTTGGGCCAGCCAATGAACTCAAGTTCTTTTATATCAGACCTCTCATTTGATTCTCGCAATGTTACAATAAAAATAGTAGCAATAGTAATACTTTATGTGAGCTGTGTGTGCTTTTTTTCTGCTGGGCATGCTTCTAATACCTTACCTGTATTAACTCAGTAGTTTTAGTCTTTACAAACCTTGTGAGTAGGAAGTCTTTTTCCCCTTATCTTTATAGAAGAGGAAACCGAGGTAGGTGAAATAATTTGACCGAGATCAAGTAGCTGATGATAGGTGCCTGAGTAGAGTTTGTGTATTTTTTAAGGTGCCTGAGTAGAGTTTGTGTATTTTTTAAGTCAGGAGCTGTGGCTGGAAGAACACGGGTAAGAGATGATAGTGTCCTGGGCCCAGAACTAAGGGTGGGAGGGAAGAGAGTGGTTTTGGGAGGTGTCCAGGGTACCTTCTTAAGACTGGGTGATGGAGAAGGCAGGAGAAGGACAGAGGAGCTGCAGATGCTCTTAGTTTGGGTGGTGGGAAGCCTTACCATTCAAGAGGAGGAGGAGGAGGAACAGGTTCCTGAGGAAAGATGGTGAGTTCAGTTGTGGTTTGTTGAGTTTGAGGTTGACAGTGGGACCTCGAGTGGAGATACCAGCTAGGAAGTACCTTAGGCCAAGTCCTCTAGAAGCAGAACCTGAGACAGAGATTCTGAGGCAGGGGATTTATGAAGGCAGAGAGAGGCCTGCCAGGGAGTAGGGGAAGCAGGATGGGGAGGGGAAAGGAAGTCTAGAAGGATGAGGGCCAAGCAGTTTTGGGCACTGGTCTGATCCTCAAGGATCTGAGCTGGGCTTTTGTACTTCCCCATCATTAGTCATTCAATGGCTGTAGACCTAGCTGGTGGCCAACTTCCAAGTGGGTCCAAGCACCCAAAGAGAGTCCTTGGGAGAAGGTTGCAGAAGTGAGTCATTATTAGCAGGCAGAGGACATGGGGATGTGAAAATAGCTCTGTGTAGGAGGCATAGGACAGAGAAGTCTGCACTGTAGGTAAAGACTGAAAGTTGTGCACAAGCAGCCTGCTGTCAGGGTGAGAGTGCCTGTTGGTCTGGGAGCTTGTGGAGTGCGAGGGGAGAGCCTGAACAGGGCTGCTGTGTGTGGCGCATGTGGGCCAGATGGATCGTGACTGCCCAGGGCAGTAACTCCCATAAGGGTTGTACAGTGCTCAGTCTACACAGCCAGATCTGGGGCCCTGCTATAAAACAGAAGCTTGAACAGCAAATCCTGCAGCAGACAGACACTGGAGGAAGTGTCCATGTAGGAGGAAAACCAGGGGATGTTGGTGTTGACCTGGGTGAGTGGGCCCTGCGTGTCAGCTAAGGCGGTGGACGTGTGGACTAAGGGCAGGAGAGTTCAGGACACTGTAGAGAGGGAAAGCAGAGGAGGAAGTGGTCACGAGGGCAGCCAGGGGCCAAGGGGAGGCCGCTGTCTCTGTGAGGTTGCCTTTATGCTGAGATGGCCTTTCCCCACCAAATGGAATATATATGTGTGTGTGTTTGTATTCATTAATTTGGATTTTGAATTAAATGAGTTTGTGAAAAAGACATGGCCTCAAGGCAGCCCATCCACAGGTGATTGATTTGTCGTTTCTTTGTAGATATGTAAGTGAACTTCATCTAACCAGGTTAAAAGGGACCGAAGGAGGCACGTACACATTTCTAGTGTCCAATTCTGATGTCAATGCTTCTGTGACATTTAACGTTTATGTGAACAGTAAGTAAAACAAAGGACCCTTATCTTTTTATCTCTTATTATTTTAAGTTGTGGCTCATGTTTGTAACAGCTGCAGAACTGAACTTATTGTGTACCTTATAAATACTGTTTCATGATCATTTTAACCTTAACAAAGACCTTGTGGTTTGGTGGCTAGAAGAGTACGTAAGAAAACCAATTCCTTGTCCTACATTTCACTGACCACATGACCTTGTCGAAGTCGCTCAGATTCTGGGTACTGCCTCCGAAGTAAACAGAGAAGCCATAGAAGTTGAAAGTAATAGTTGTTTGAGGGAAAATGTATTACTATTGATTGTTGAAATGGGGAGCCAGAGATTGAATAGGAGCTGGATTATGGTGTTTAGGTGGGAAAGAGATGCTATCAAGCCCTGCAGTGATTTCTTTGTTACAGTGCTTTCCCTTCTGAAGGGGTATTATTTGCGTTTAGATTGTTCTCCCACTAAGACAAATGCAGTATTGATCGACAGGTCACTGCTGAGTATCATGCGTGTACTGTGGGAGAAGGTAGCAGGTGGTTTAGGTTGGAAGGGTGGCTGTGGTCACGGGAACCTGAACTCCTGAGTCCTGCACTGCTGTGGTCTCAGCTGCCCCCCACTCCCACAACTTCTTAGATGTCTGCACAGAGGTTGAGGCCAAGGGAGCATGGTCGCCAACCAGCTGGGGTTTTTGCCAAGTTCAGGGCTTCCTCCTGGCTCCACTCTGGGTCTGCATTTCTAAGGAGGTGCTGGTGGGTACCTGCCACACCATGCCTGCCAGAGCAAGGGGGACCTCCAAAGACTTGGAATTCCAAGGGAGCGACACGATAAATGACCATGAGAATTGGCCATCCTTGGGGTGTGGGAGATGAGGAGAAAACCTGGAATATTCCCTAGAGAACATCTTGGGAACTGGGCCAAGCACTTTGTGTGGTGGGCTACAGGAAGGGGTGTGGGAACAAAGGATGGGTGCCAGTTCCTTGCCCTGAGGTGCTTAGCTGCTGTATGAAGTGGTTTTATATAACTTTCGCATTTGATACTGCAGCTCAGCAAGGAGGGTGGGGTGGGTAGTGTGATCCATTTGTAAATGAAGAAAAGAAACAGCTAGTGAGAGATATCTGGACAGGTTTTGATTGCTAATCTAGAGTCTTTTTAATATATCGGCATTTCAAAAATTGTGTTTCTTAAATAAGATGTTAATATGAGTTTAGATAAAGAGGGTCACATTCGTGTAATTAAGCATATTTCTTTATGACAGTCCTTCCCAGAGTCCTTAATATACTGACATATGTTCTGCCTCCCTAGGAGGGGGCTGTGGAATGGAGCGTGTATCCCAAACTTGTTTGACCACCGAATGCTCCCTTTCCAAGGGGAAACATGTTAATTAACAACTCAGTTCTTTGGAACAGTTTTGATTATATGGTATCTCATTGGCCCTCAATTCAAATATCTCTAGATTAATTCAGATGTTAATTAAAGGAGTTTAGTATATTATACACGGGAAAAATTATCTGCTTTTGGAAAATGTTAATATTCAGCTAATTTAAGAGATGACTATAGGTAAATCAATATCCTTGCAAGTATATGCACATTGGTCGTACAGAACTTTATTTTGGGTATTCTAGTGTAGTGCTTCTCAGCCTATCTATGGTAAAGGCCTACCCCCCTCCCCCCAAGATTCCCAATTAGTTATGATTCAATATTTCTTGTAAAATACAGTGAAAACCGATAACTAGTAAAGTGAAATGAAAAAAAAAAAGACATAAAAAATACAAGCTTGGTTTTGTAAATATATTAGATTCAAAAGATATAAAAATGACTCTTGTCACATTGCTCCTTCTAAATGCTTCTTCTCAGTTTCTGTACTTACCTCCTGTGAACCAGTAACAGCAGATCAGGGGTGTGGCCTACCTCTATGCCGTTGGGAATGTTATCAAATCAGGTGCTTTGTGTATCTTTCTTTCCCTGCCCTCAAGGCCAAAGGGGCATTTTGATGTGTCTCTTTTCCCCTGTCTTCATGCTTCAGTTTGCCAGTGTGTGGTCTGCCAGTTGGTCCTGAGACATTGACCTCAGAAAGATGTTTCCAACTTTTCTCTGTGTGGCAAAATTGCCATTTTACTTACCAGGCTAATTTCCCACCCTACAGGATCAGTTTTAATCATTTCTGCTGTTGAGCTCTTACCTTTTTGAAACTATGTAGGATATGCTGTTCACCTTCCAAAATGATCCCTTCTTGGATACACGTTAGTAGGAGGCCTTTTCTATATTTGGGGCCGAGTCTCCAATCTCCACCCAGCATATTCTGAGCTCCTGCTTCATCAGACTGGGGACCCAGATGAGGATAACGTAGGCTGTGCCTCTTTGGTTAAGCTCTTCGGGAAGTCTTTCCGTTGATGACAATTTGTAACAAACAGTAAACTGACTAAAGGCATTTATTTACTTACCTAACAGACTGGATTTCTTGATTGCTAAATACTTTGACAGCTACCATTTTTTGTGTGGACCTTAAACCGTCTGCCTCTTGTGAGGTGTGTCCCAGTTGCTCTTCGTCGATTTTCTTTTTTGGGAGTTGAAAAAAATTCTAGTTAACACTTCTATGGGGTAGGATTTTTTTCTGTTAAATTTTAAAATCAAAATAGTTTTAAAATTTCAAACTTGGAACAGTTATGTCCATTTTGAGGGGCCTGGCTGGTTAGCTCAGTTGGTTAGAGCACAGCTTTATAACACCAAGGTCACGGGTTTGGATCCCCATATCAGCAAGCCATCCAAAAAAAAAATGTGTCCATTTCACATCATTTTAGCTGAGCCAGTTACATATGCAGATCTATCGTATGGTTTATTCTGTAAATAAGCTTAGCTTGAAGGATGAAAGGAATTGGGTTCTACAAAATTTAGAATTGATAAAAATCAGAATAATAAATGCTTAGTATTAATGCAAAAATTTGGGCTACTTTTTACTCAGTGACACAGATGCATAATTGCTTAATAGATTCAGCCGTAAGAAATGCAAGTGAAAAATCCTTGATTTGTAATGGTTAAATGTTTGTTGAAAAATCCCTTTGTTTTGAAAATTCCACATATAGATTTGAATAAATTGAGTGTGTATGTTGGGGGGGTTAAATACTTATGTGGGAGACTTTAAAAAATAGGCTCTGAGGATTTGTGTTGAGAACAATTAAGTATGTAACATGTTAAGCTTCTGTTTTAATACTGTTTTTAACCTCTCTAACCAAGACATGATTTACATGAGTTTGTTAAATTGGCTCAGTGACATTCAAGGTACTTTATAATGGCCAATACTTATAATATGTTTGCCATCTTTGAGTAGAACTACCACTGGAAACAGGTGGGAGTTTTCATTAAAAAACAAAACAAAAAGTCAGTGATTTCTTTGCATTAAATTAGCATTACTATAATTACTCATAGAATTGCTTATCCAAAATGTATATAGAAATCAAATTCTTCTAAAAAGTTTGATATCCTTTGGTAAAGCTGGTGATTTGTTTCCCTTGCAAATGAAAATTGGGAGGAAGGAGAGTTTTAAAAACTTTAAAACTTTACCTCAGAGTAAGCTTTTTTACTAGGCATTACTCTTTCCAAAATTCCTGGAGATGTTAGAAAAAAATGACACCACCAAGATTCTATAGGTAGCACCTGTGCTATGTGTTTAGGAACTCATGGTCTCTTTGGTTACAATAAATGTCACACAGTAAGATTTTTACCAGATCTAGGACAAATAAAAAGGCAAATATGCACTTGAACTCTGATTTATCCACTTGGCTTTCTTCTTACTCCATCCAATATTTCCTGAATAAATAATAAACTTTATAGTAGACCTAAATGATAATCAGTAAAGTAAATATTTTGTAGGTTTATTTTGGCTTCTAATTTCAAATACCCTTGTGAATCCTGAGTTATGTACATAATTGTAGAAACAAATTATGCTTGATATGATAAATCAGTTGTTTTCAAGCCTCTGGAATGATTTTAAGAAGATCCAGTAACTTTAAAATGATACTTCAAAACATTATCGAAGAGCATTCCCAGATACAATATTATGAATTTAAAGTAGGTGGCAAATGGTATTTAGGGGTCATAAATAGATTGCTCTCCAGTCTTAAAGGTATATCCTTTTATGACAAACCTCAGCCAGTTGAGTGGGGTACCGGGGTCCTCAGACACTGGTAACAGGGAGGCAGACAGTGAGAACTAAAGGATTCCCCTTTCATCATTGGGCTTACATAGAACATATTTAATGTTGAGCTAGATTGGATACCCAACTGACTGCTGAAATGCACCAAATTAACTCTCAAAAGTCACCAATTTTACTCCACTTATGGAAGGGTGTTCACAGGGGGATGAGGAACCATTTAAGGAAATGCTAAATAATGTATTATTTCTAAATCACTGCATCATATAATTAACATCCTATCTGGTGTTAGCAATTATTTATAGATCATACAGTATGCCAAAGTCAGCCAAAGTAATAAATCACCTGGAGTAAGGCCTCTTGATAAGAAAGTTCCCCTGGGACCATATTTGCGCAAAGTCTGAGCTACCTTTTTTGTGTTTTATGTATTTTTAGTCACAGTTAAATCCAATTACGGGTGGTTGAACCAATTCTAGGGAGAAGCCACTGTAAAGTGCAACACCTTGCAGATAAAGCACATGGCCGGCCCACCATTTGCCAAGAGTGGAGGTAGACCTGTCAGGCTAGCCACCTAGTTGGCTTTGGACTGCCTGCTAGCCATCTGGGTCACCCATCTGGCTGGAATCTCAGGGACCATTACCCAGGCTAAAATAATAACGCCAGGCTTGCCTTCAGGGACTCTGCTCAGTTTTGGGCCTTTGGACCACTGTGCCTTTCAAGAAGATCCTTACAAAACAGAGAGCAAAGTTACTAGAACATTACCCTCTTTGGAAGATGGAAACATTTTCCCACCTCTTAACCTGTTAGCTTTCTATTTCCATTTTTAAAAAATGGTATGATGTTCCAAACACATG